TATAGAATTTGGGCTTAGGTGATATTGAGGAGGGAATGGAAATGCACTGTTGGAAATGCTCAAGGAAATGCACTGTTGTTCTAGGTGAGATGTTGTCCAGAAACAAGAATAAATATGTGATTGGGCATCTTAATAATTCTTATCTGGAAGGCAGGAGGAACAAGATGAGGCTAAAGTTGTAATTAGTAAACAAGCGCAAGTCACTCACATTAGCCAGAAAGGGGGCATCATTTGTCATTTTTGTGGTTTGGGCAGCGTTCTTGTTTTTGTCTGGGTTCCGATGTGATTACGGAATAATCTCATTTTGTTTTTGTTCTATCATGGTCAGAGCGGCCGTGTCTGCTGTTGGTGTTCTGTGGAAGTGCTTATGCCTCACAGCAACCCATGGTGGCTCAGACGCCAGGTGCCAGCCCTCAGGGGCTGCGTTTCTCTTTCTGAGGAAGAACCTAGACTTGTGTTTAAAGACCGCCAGGAACCTTGCAGAGAAAAGAATCTGAGAGCCCAGAGCATTCATGTCAAAGCAGAAACTCCTTTCAAAAGGACAAAGAGGCTGTGACAGCCCAGTGCTCCTGGATTAAGGCTACCTGCAGTCTGGTCACCCATTCAACAGGTATTTCTTAAACAGCTAAGTCACACAGGCACGAAGGACAAAGCTGTGAACCAGAGTGTATTCGTTAGTGAGGGGCACAGAAAATATGAGTGAACAATAAGGAAGGTTGTCTCATAAAATGGTAGGTGCTATACAGGAAATAAAGGAGGACTAGGGGCACTTTGAAGAGAGGGTCAGGTAGGCCACTCTGAAGCAGTGATGAGAAGGTGAGATTATTTCAAGCAGAGAGGGCCAGAAGTGGTCTTCTAGCAACAGCAGAAGGTATGCTATAAGGAGAGAGGACTGAGACAGGTCAGAGAGACTTGGGAGCTTGGGGTTTATTCCATGTCCTGGAGGCCATTGGAAGAGTTACTGAGGAGAATGGGAGACCCACACCTCCTCTGAGGTAGAGAAGCCTGCAGCATCCTAAAGTCCATCCCCAAGGTGTCTTGCCGGCCTCCATGCTGGAGGTTTTGGATACACCGGAAGTAGTTCGGTCTTGCTCTTACTTGCTGAAGTCAATCATTGTTCAAAGGAGTGTATTAGTTTCACATTGTTGCTGTAAAAAATCACTACAACTTAGTAGCTTAAAACAAGTCAAATGCATTATAGCTCCAGGTGTCAGAAATCCTAACATCAAGGGCTTTGTTTCTTCTGAAGGCTAAAGGGACAGGTCTGTTTCTTCACCATTCCTAGCTTCCAGAGGCCACTTACCTTCCTTGGCCGTGGCCCCTTCCTGCTTCTTTAAAGCAGGCAGCGTAACACCTAAAAATTCAATTTCTCCCCATCCCCAACCCTGCCTCTCTCCCCTCTCTCCTGTGCTTCTATTATCGTATCTCACTCTTAGACGCTCAGACACTGACCCACATGTCTCCCTCTTGTGATTACACTGGGCCCACACAGATAATTCAGGACCATCTCCTTATCTCAACATTCTTAAATTAGTCACATCTCCAAAGTCCTTTTGCCATGTAAGGTAACTTATTCCTAGGTTTTGAGGCCTGGGGATATGGCTCAGTGGTAGAGCTCTTGCCTTTCACACACAAGGCCCTGGGTTCGATCCCCAGCACTGCACATACACACAGACACACGTTACCTAGGTTTTGGGGACTAAGGCATGGGCCTTTGGGAGAGCCATAATTCTGTGTACCATTGGCAGTCACGTAGAAGGCAGGGCACTGGAACTGGTCTCAAGCCATTCTACTAGTTTAATGTGTCAACTGGGCATCTGCTTACTTAGCTCTAAGAGTGAGATGAGTACTTGTCCCACTTGCCTTAGCAAGTTTTGGTATCACATAAATCAGTGCAGCATTATATTAGGAAAAATAAGTGGCGTAATATATAAGGACGAATTATGATATACTATGTGGCTTCTGAAAACAAGTACCAAAGGGGTGTGTTCTAGTAAAGAAAGTGAAAAGCTGTTTTTCAGTCTTCCTTTCCAAAACACTTGCTGAATGACCGTGGACAAGTAAGAAAGTCTTTGAATTTCATTTGGAAAAGATATCTTCGCACAACAACATCATAGTATAAAAATCAACATTGTAGGGCTCCCTTGGGAAATGCCACACAAATGTCCTTCCTTAAGGATTTCACAAGCAGGAGCCCAAATTCTTCTTCGTAGACAGATACACAGTGATTCCGGGCGACAGAATGGTACCCATCAGCCCGGGGACAAGCGAGTGTGAATCTCCCCACATACAGTGACTGAGAAATAAAAAGGAAGTTACAAAGGCCCCTTTCATTCTTTCTGCCCTCTGCTCCTGAGTGAGTGGGCAGGAAAAGGCATGCAGCATCTAAAATGGTTATTCATAAAAATGTGAAAAACACTGATTGAGAACATGGAAATTTCATGCAGTGAAAAGGTTCAGGTTAAAACCAACATTCTCTGGAAGACTCAGGTTTGGTCATAAGGTGAGTTGTTCAGGACCTGCCTCATTGCTTCAGTAGCTACTATCCTTGTGTATTGCACTTGATTAGAAACAGACCGGAAATAGTTGCCTGCTGAGTATAGGCCATAGACCTGCAGATGTGATCCTCATGCAGCGTTCCGTCCTTGAGCCCTTGGCTGTGTGCTAGGCTCTGTCTTTACTGCTACGGACATGGGCAGGTAAGGATTTCCCTGACCTCGTGGGAATGTTTCACTCATTCCAAGGTTTGGTTTAGCTTCAAATGTTCTTGGGAGAATCTTGGTGCTTGTTTATAAGCTCACATATCCTTTACATGCAGAAAAACTGATTTACACAATTCTTGCTGGAATAAAAGCACATTAAGGCAACCGGGTAGGTACATGGAGGGTCGCCAGGCTGGTCCTGCGAATGTTGGCTCCAAGACAGAGGCAGAGACCAGACCCGCCACTGTAGCTGGTCACAAAGAGCCGCTCTTGCCTCACTGTGGGGCTTTCCTAAGCCTCTCTCCCACGATCACACTGGACTCCCACAGGGGAGCTGTGAAACAGAGAGTGTGTCACTGCGGGGAAGATGATCAGTGACATCCCGGGACTCACCGTCACAGAGAAGAGCCTTCACTCGTGTCCATTGCTGTTTCTAGACAGAAATGAATGTTTTTTCCCACCAACCATCACTGATTCACCCACATTCTCGCTCTCTGACCTTAAAAACCATAAAACCCTAACATTTCCAAAGTGGAAGGGGGCCTTAAATAGCAGACAATTTGTTCAATTCTCTCATTTGGAATTTATGGGAAGTTTGAATGTTTTGAGAAGCAATAACATTTTAAAAAAATTTAAAAAAATAGAAGTGCTGTTTTGTACTAAAGGAAGAAAGAAGTCATTATTCCGGTCTTTTCTAATGACTCACTATTGGCTCTTCACACATGTGCTATAACGGAAAGATTCTGTTCCTTGCAGTGATTTTCTGTGACCTTAGAAGGCAGATCACTTACCTCAGATACCCTCTGTTTCCTTGCTATGAATTAAAAACTGGAGGTGACCATGGCTGATGAAGAAAATCTTATATCATAACTCAGCATGCACATTTGTGCATACACACACACACACACACACACAAACTAAAAAAAACTTCCAAGAACCTGTACATATCCTACAAGTACACACTACTTTCTAGTCCTATTCTGTTCTGTCCTGGCCTAGCCTAGCCTAGCCTATCACATTCTAGCCTTCTATTCTGCAAAGCTCGTAGTAACCTACCAAATTAATTTTCCAGCACACTACAATGTGGAGTCCTCTGGCTTACAAGTGCTGAGCAGCAGACTTTACAAAGCATCTCCCAGCTGGGTCCTCTGACTTCCCTCGGGGCTCCCCGGAGCTCTGGGAGGCCTCTTTCAGGTCAGGTTAGCATCTGATCCTCTTGTACCACTACAGGAGTGACTTGGAGGCCAACCCTCCCAACCGTCAAACTTTAGTCCTTACACACTAGTACTGGTGGTATGGCTGTTTGTCCCTACAGGTATAAACAAAGCACCAAACACGGCCTTCTAGTCCCAGCTACTCAAGATTTGGACTCAGATTCAAGCTGCAAGGATAGGGCACATGGCTGGCTTCTGCCTGACCCCCACCTGAGACAGCAACACAGCACACAAGGGGTGATCGAAAAATATGGTGAATCCTAAAACAGTTTTGAAACATCACTGTAATAGACAGATTGTCAAGAATGATAGGATGAGAGTATTGAAAGGAAGAAAGGGAATTTTGACTATTTTAAGAGGAATCAATGGCAATGTATCTTCTACTTTATTATGTTTATTTAGTTTATTTTTTGTTTACACCTTGTTGATCAAACGTTTATGGCAATTTCTGTCAAATAGAAACATGCTGGTGTACCCTCGTGCACATTCCTTACCAGATCTGTGTCATGCAGCTTCTGGCTTTTTCCCAAAGTCAAAATGGCGATGAAAGGCAAGCATTTGAAATGTATTCAGGACATGGGGCAGCCACGATAATGCAGCTCCAGACAGGAAAGAAGACTTCCAGAACTGCTTCAGGAAGGGGCAAGAATGACATGATAAGTGTGTTTGCACCACTTTGAGGGGGATTAATGGCAATGTAATTGGAAGGTGACTGAATCAGAGAGGAATAATTTGATCTACAATATCACCTTCTATTCACCAGCTAGCACAGAGCTAGAAAGAGCTTTTACAACAGTTGCAGAAAATTGCAGAGAAAAGAAGTATGCTGGCAACTCAACAATGGCAACATTGAAACACTTTGCTTTTTATTTTATTTATTTATTTATTTATTTTTTTGTGGTTTTTCTCCAGTACCGGGAACCGAACTCACGACCTTGCGCTTGCCAGGCAGGCGCTTTGCCGCTGAGCTAAATCCCCAGCCCCACACTTTGCTTTTTAAATTTTTACTCTTTAAAAATCGAATAATATCACTATCACATTTCAAGAATAGTTTTAAATTTTTTAATCAAAAATGCATGAGAGCCTATTTTTAAAGTTATCGTGTTAATTTTACCTGCTAATTTATAATAACATGGTATGCTTAATGTTTACATCTTTATGAATGTACACATTTGTTTCATGCATTATAACTGTTTTGTAAAGTGTGCTGTGAGTGTCTGCTTTCAAGAAGTACTGCACATGTTGTTTGTGATTATTCAAAACTACAATAACAACGTCAAGCTCCAAAGCTATAATAACAACTTCAATAATACATCAAGTGTTTCAGCACTCAGTAAAACAAATCCCTACGTTCTGGTTTTTCCATTTGGTTTTGGAATTGCCGTCACCTGCAGGGGCTGGGGAGGTTCAGGTCCCCCAGCTTTTGGGATGACTCCAAAGTAGCTTTTAGAGACTGCCTCCGTGCTTGGCACCCCGAAAACTCTTGGGAAATGTCAGATGCTGAGTAACTGAAAGGAAGAGAGGACATGGGACGGAAGAAACGAGAGAAAGAAAGGAAAGGGATGGCATCGGGCCTTGTGAGTGAGCAAGAACGGCAGGCGAAACAACTGGCTGTTGCTTTCGCCTTAGATGTCTTTCCTCTATTGCAAATGAAAATCAAAGGTTTCCATGACAGATTTTCCTCAAAATATCATTCCCAGAACCCCTTGATGAGGTGGCAGCTTTGTGGAAGTTCACTGGAAAATTCAGCTTTCCATCAGCAATAGAGGAGGCCAATTTAGCTGAGCTGTTTGACCGGCACAAGGCTTTCATCTTGGACGTCATTTCTCTGGTCACCTGGCTGCAGCGACAAAAGCTGTGTGAAAGGAACATTTGTGTCACTCACGGTTTCCTTTTATCTCTGAAGATCATGTATGAGTTTTGGGAGGAATGCTACAGTTTTATAGTCTTTCCTAATGATAAAAGTAATGATCATTGTTTATAAATAATCAAAAAATACCAATAAGCACAAGGTAGAAAGTAAACATTTAGAGCTGGTAGTTATTAATATCTGAAGTTCAGATTTTGTTAATACACATATTTAAAAATATGATCATGTCGTATTCCATAGTACATTGTGTATTCCGTCACATAGTCTTGTCTTTGACTTAATATATTGAGAATATCTCTGTCTGTCTTTTAAAATTATTGTATAGTTTTTCATTCCCCTTTGACAAATGCGTACATTTGCCAGTATTTCATGATAAATTACACATTACCCAACACTCTTATGTGAGTATTTTTGGGCATTTATCCTCCTATTTCCTTAGGATATACTCTAGATGTGAATATTTAAATGTCCATGCACATTTTAAAATGCTGTATCAATTTGCCAGATTGCCCTGCAGAAAGTTTGAATCAGTTTATGCTCCCTTTCAAGTTTATGAAAGTATATACTATTTCACACCCTCACACTAGTTATTATCATTCTTTTTAAACTTTTCAAATTTTATAGGTTAAAAGGTATTTTTATTTTAATAGGCATTGCATTTATTATTAGTGGGGTAGAATACTTTTCAAGTTTATTGGCCATTTGCATTTTTCCTTTTTGCATATTTTGGCTATGTTTCACCTGTATTTCCCTTTTTCACTGATTTCTAAGAGTTCTTCATAATTCAAAAATATGAAGCCTCTGGTGTCAGGTATGTTGTATATTAGTTTTTCAATTTTTCATAACTAAGTATGTGGTTTAGACACAGCAGCTTTGCTTTAAGTGACAAATATATCAATGATTTCTTTATAGTTTCTTATGAGTGAATCATGTTTAGGAAGGTATTGTTATTACTAACATTATCATTTCTAGTGCTGGGGATTGAACCCAAGGGTTTCACACTGAACTACATCCCCAGCCCTTTTAATTTTTTTATTTTGAACCAGTCTCACTGAGTTGCTAAATTGCCTAGGGTGGGCCCAAATTTCCAACCCTCTTGCCTCAGTATCTCACAGGAAAAACTACCATACCCAGCTCAAAATTATTAGCTATTTATTTGTGCTTTTAAAAATCCTCATTTTAAAACATCTATATTCTTAAGCCATTCAGAATCTATTTGCTGGGTGGCATGAGGTAAAGAATCTAACTTTTCTCCCTGATTTGTTAATGAGTTGCACCATGAACCCTTAGGTTGAAGAGTCCAAGTTATCTCTGTTGATTTGAAATTCCTTCTTTACCACACTCTGGATTTATACAGATATGTAAGCTCTTCTGTATTTACCTTTTGTGATTTTCTGAAGCTCCGTAGCCATATATGTAAGTCTTTTGGAATTATCTATTACTTTATCTACATGGAACATTTTTATTCCACTCAAGATCTTAGAGTAATGGCTGCCACTCTTTGATAGAAAAAACAAAGTCAACGTACTTACTTTGCAGGGTGGCAAAGGAGAAATTATCCATGGTCATAGATTTTCAGATGCAGAAAACCCTGAAGGTGTTCTATTCCAGTCCCCATGAAGACTGTGCTAAAAGCTAGTTAGTGGACAACTGATACTGAAACCAAGTTATATTCTCCCCAAACCACGCTGATGAAGAAAGTTACAGAGGGTTCATCAAAGACAGCAAAAGCAGAATTAATAAAATGGTAATCTTGTTTGTTCTGGATCTCTAGAATACAAAACCTTTGAGGAAAACAGAAGTTTCTGGAACACCAATCTTTGCAAGGCAAGTTAAATGTACAGGAGCTCTTGAGGTGAACTGACTGGGCCCTCAGAAAGCTCATAAAAAGAAAACATGACAGACGCTAAAAAGTGAGTACCCAAGCACGGACATGCATCCAGAGTGAGCCATTTACTCAGTAACGATCCTGCAAGAGAAGGCTCAGGCGCCTCTCAGCAGGGTCCCTCTCATCCTGGCTGGCTCCACAGGTCATTCAGGTCAGACATCAGCAAGCACAGCTGAGAGACAGGAAGCACATGCCCGAGTACAGTGACAGAGAAAAGCTTGCTATAGCTGAGGCGGAAACAAACACTGTTAGTCTGAGGGAGTCTGCATGAGAATGTGTTTTCTATACTGGGAAAACTTTTGAGCTACAATGTTTAATGTCCATAGATTTGTCATGTACTAAAATATAGAACTTAGTGAGGAAAGAAAGAGAAAAACAAAGGAAAAAAGGGAAAGAGAAAGAAAGAAAGTAAAGAACAAAGAAAAGAAGAAAGAAAGAAAAGAAGGAAGGAGGGAAGGAAGGAAGAAAGAAAGAAAGAAAAAGAAAGAAAGAAAGAAAGAAAGAAAGAAAGAAAGAAAGAAAGAAAGAAAGAAAGAAAGAAAGAAAAAGAAAAGAAAAAGAAGAAAGAGAGAAAGAGAGAAAGGAGGAAGAAAAAGAAAGCTGCCTAGGCACCCTCTTGTCCTTCCCGTCTTGTGGAAATCTATTCTGTAGCAAACAACCTCCTACCTGAGGGCACCAAAGTTTAATAAATATGCTTAGTTTCCTAAAGATGTCTGGTAATTTATTTTGTTTTAAAATAGGGAATATGGCCATATGGTTTAAAATTCAAAATGTACCAAAGGATCTATGGAGAAAACTCTCCCTCCCACCCAAGGCCTTCATCAGCTGGGGTCTCCAGCTCAAGGAAAACCAAGTTTTAGTTTCTCCTATGCCCGGCCACAGTTATTGTAGGTAGGCTCAAATATGGACGGAAACAACACATTCTTTTGTGAAAATTTTACACAAAGGATAACATGCTCTGCATAATGTTCTTCACCTTGATATTCTTACTTAATACATTTTGAGAATGTTCTAGATCTGTATATGGAGAGCTACTTGGCCTTACACTCTATTGCACAAGTAAAGTATGCCTTAACAATTTCCCCAATAGATGGACATTTCTGTTGTTCTAAATTTTGCTTTTATTTATTATTTTTTTTCTAAATTTTGCTTTTAAACAATGCTGCAGTTAAGACATTTTGTATTCAGCAAGTTTCTATCAAGAATAAAGCTCTAGAATGGGAAATTTATAATTTGGACAGAAATTGCCAAAATTTTACTCTTAGAGACTAAAGCCATTTCAATTCCTCCCATAATTCAGAAAGTTCCTGTTCTCTTACACTTTTGCTAAGATAGGGTTTTATTGACCTTTTTTCAAATCTTTGCTAATATGATAGGTGAACTTGATAGGTATCCCAGTATAGGTTTAATTTTCTATATTTTTCTACATATTAATTTTCTATATATTTAATTTTCTATATATGTTTCTCATATTATAAGTGAGGTTGAGAATCTTTTAATATATTTAGAGACACTTTGTGTTTCTGCCCTGGATATGATTCATACTTTTAATCCTGTTTTGGCAGTATGTCATTGTTGGCTTTAGAGTTTTTTATACAGTAGGTACAGTATCTCTGATCTTAGTTGTACTGATTTGAGGGCAGGGGATATAGCTCAGTGGTACAAGTGCCTGCCTGTACTGACTTGCCCCATTTTGTTGTTTTCTTTTAACTTTCCCATTGATATTTGAAAAATCCTTTTATTTTACAGATTCTGTTTCCAGTTAGGACTTTCTAGGCTAAAATTTTAAATAGCATGTGTGTGTGTGTGTGTGTGTGTGTATCTTCCAACTTCCTTTTTCTACACAGTTATAGTTTATTATTTACTTTAAGATTTTTTTATCTAGCTGAAATTATCCTGTTTAACAATTTTAAGTTTAGCTACAATTTTATTTTTTTCCAGACAGTTAACCAGTTATTCCCAAAACTATCATCTTTCTTTTCCCTGATTTGAAATATAATAGTCATAGTATCCATATATTAAAGTAGCCACATATAATTTATAATAAAATCTTTCCTCTTCTAACAATGCTCCTGAGAATCTTTACACATCTTATAATAGCTTTTAAATGTCTTGCAATCACTGGAAAAACTATTTTCATAATTTTCTTCCCTTTACTCTGTTCTCCTTGCTTTTAAGATGTTACAGTGTGCAGGCCAGTTCCTCTTCCAAGCCTCAATTTTGCCATTTCTGCTTTCCCGGGGAGGTATTACTCTTACTTGTGGGCGAATTTCTGCCTTTTCTTCCTTTTTCGGAACAGATTGCCAATGGGTCCCATCCAGGGGAATGGCTGTCAGCGTGAGGTGGGAGTTTCAGGGCTTGTAGCGCAGGATGGAGGATCATCCACACAGAGTGGCTGCTGAATTCTGGGGAGAGAAGATTTACCAGGAAGAACGTGTAGAAGAATAGTGACGGAGGATGACTCTTGTATGGCATCAACAGTGAAGGAAAAGCTCGAGGAGAAACTAGAGGAGAAGTACTGGAAGAATAGCAGAGGAAGATGAAAGAGGAAGACTGGAGAGTCTTGGAGGAGGGCCCAGAGTGATCCACAAGATTGAGCATAAGAAAAACCCTGCGGATTTGGGGACAAGGAGATCTTTGGCGCTCACGGGAGTCCATCTCCCCTTGCCATCTCCATCTCTTTGTCTTGTGGACGGATGGAATTTCTGTCGGTGCAGCAGCGCTCCCACCTAAAATAATTAGAAAAGACAAATGAAATACAGAAATTATCTATTTAAAGGAAGCCAGGAGCTGTTGAGACAAGCAAACCTGGCAAGGCTCAGGCTCCGCAGAGGGAGGAGCCTGAGTGGGCTGAGCAGGTTTTTGCAGGCACTTTTACCCTCAGGGCAAGGACGGGAGGCTGAGTATCCAGGGCAAGGAGCAGAGGGGTGAAAGCCTCACACATACAGCCTGCTTTCCCCTTAAGGACTTTGGCCAAACATTGAGGCTCTGCAGAGCAGAGATTTTTTTTTAAAAAAAAAAACCTGCCTGGGAAAACCAGAGGGCAGTTTTTCAGTAATCTTGCAAGTTTTAAATTAGAGCTTAGTACCAGCTAGAGGAGCAGCTTGTGGAATACCCTAGGGTTTTTGCTGAGAACTGAGGTCAGAGTTGAATCAGTGGAAGACTTAGCACAGCTGAAGCTCAGCCTGATTCAGCAAAGCACTGAGTGGATTAATACAATACCCCACTTTTCTGTCTCTACCGCAGGAACAGGGGGTACATACCCTCTCTGAAAGAAGACACTGAGTCTCCCCAACTCTGCATATGTCATGTCTGGCATGCAGTTAAAATGTACTAGGTACCCCAAATGACAGGCTCACATGACTGAGAAACCCAGGGGTAAAGAAAGTAGAAGCAAACGGGCGGTCCAGAGGCTGGGATTAGTTGACAAGGCCTGAGAGGAGCTACCATTCCATGTCCAAGAAGAAAAGAGGAGCACCAACGGAAACGTGCACTCAACTTCCGCCCCTTTCAGGAAGCTCTCTTCGTCTCTCTGTTCACCTTTTCCTCTGTATAATCCTGACCATTTGTCTGTACTTCTTATGGAACTTACCACTATACAAAGTGGCATTTTGTAGTAGTCCGAATACTCAAAATTTTGTAGTAGTCAAAATGGCATTTTCTAGTAGGTTGTGAGGTCACACTGGGCTCCAGTTCAAGACCAGCCACTTATTAACTTCGTAATCTTGGAAGGGTTACTTATCTTCTTGAAGCCCCAATTTTCTTGCCTATAAAATGGAGTTGTTAAAATAATTAATTGAGAAGTAACTAATTGAGAGGTAATAATAATTAAGAGGTTGAATCAACGCCAGTGCCCTCAGCGTAAATGGTAAGATGAAATTTAATTTTAATCAGAAACATCCAGCTAACTCATACATAGAGACTTTTCACTGGAGTAATCTGAATAAGGCTACTGCTGTTTTTTTTTTTTTTTTTTGGTTTTTCTCCGGTACCAGGAACCGAACTCACGACCTTGCGCTTGCCAGGCAGGCGCTTTTGCCGCTGAGCTAAATCCCCAGCCCCTGCTGTTCTTTATAATCAAGTACTTTCTATGCATTGCTTCTAGATTCACCCTATAAAAGTCTTCTCCTTATCCCCCAATGGTGGAGCCCTGAAGTGCCCAAAGGGGACCTGGAGTTCCCCAGTTTGTCAGTCACTGTCTGCTTGAATAACTCTCTAAAAATGTTTAATGTGCCGAAGTTTAACTTTTAACAGACTTACTAACGGTGCTTTCTTCAAAAGGTTGTTTTGAGAAATTTAAATATTCTCACACTAACTCGGTTATGGTGGAAATGCACTGGAGTTTATTACCTGCTCTAGTCTCTTGCACAAATTTGGTCTTCTGAATTGTGTGAAAAGAACACTATTTTTTGTTCAATCCACCTATTTTATACTGAATATTTTTTATTTTTGGCAGAATTAAGGATTGAGCCAGGACTCTGCACTCAGCTAATCCCCAGCCCTATTTATTCCATCTTATTTTCCATTTCATATGACAGGGTTTCATAAATTGCTAAGTTGCCCAGGCTAGAATCAAACTTGTGATCCTCCTGCCTCAGTCTTCCAGAGTGCTGGGATCACAGGTGTGCACCACCATACTCAAGCCCCCATGCCTGTCTGCCCTAACACCTTGTTAAATTGATCATTTTTATTTTTCTGGGAACATATAATGTTGGTTGTCATGTAGCACTGCATTCTTGGTGGTGGTAGAGATGATGTTCAGTTCTGCTTACCACTGTATACCCAGCACTCATTCTGCTAAATAAATAAATGAGAAACTCCTAATTTCACAGCCTGAGATTTAAGAACATGGTTGATCTTGCCTTTAGTCTCTTCCCCTTGGCACTGAGAACCTTTGTTAGCTTTCTACCTGCCCCCATTCTGCATGTGTTCTTTGCTGTCAGAACATTGATGTTCAGCCCAGATACTACATCATGAATTAGTCTGAACTAATCACAGCCATTGTATTCCCCTTGCCTGCAATGGACCAGAATAATTACACCATGTGTTTTGGCTAATGAGCTAGAAAAAGAAGTCTTCTACAGGGCTTTTGGGAAACATACTGGTCTTTAATGGAAGGAAAGAAGAATCTGAGAACTCTGTAGTCTTCTCTATTCCAGCTCCTTTTTTTAAACGTGGCAGGGTGGGAATATTGTGTTTGGAACTACGGTAACCATCCTGCCGGAATGACCTGAAAAAAAATGCCAAAATGACTCCAGTGGACCGCTGCACCAATCCTGGAACTACCTCCACACTTCTCATTGTATAAAATCGTAAATGCCTTTATGAATTACACCACTGTTATTTGTGTTTTATATTGCAAGGAATAATTTTTCTCCTAACTGACACATTCTGGAGCAAATCCAATTTCACATACATTCCATGTCTTAAAAATGGGTCAGCATACCCATGGTTCTGCTTTTAGCCACGTAAAAGTTAGGCACATCTCAGAAATAAGCCTCTTTAACATCCTGAGCTATGTGTCGGATATGGCTTTAGGTGACCTCTCTGAAGCACTCAGGACAGAGTGTAGCTAAGTGGTCACACTTGGTGACCAAGCAGCTGCCGGTGAAGGGAAAAGGATAGGGAGGAAGAACTGAGCAGGCAGTGGGGGCCGAGGCCTGGAAAACAAAGAGAAACAAAGGGGCTAAAAAAAGCAAGGAGGAAAAGGACCAGGCGGAGGAAAAGTTCAGGCAAACAGCAGCAGGGAGAGCAGAAGAATTGCAAAAGGGAAATTTAAGTCTCTTAATTATCTAGAAAACAATCTAATAAAAATGCATAGAATCTTTTTGATCTCTTGGACAAAAATGGTTAAGTACAATAACAGACATAAACAAGGACCTGAATAAGTAGAGTGAATGAGATGTCAATTTTGTGAGACAATTTAATATGTTAAGAATATCAATTCTTCCATGTTAAACTATAAAATCCATCCAATTGCGGTACAATGAGATTTCTACAAGCCACTTGAAAAATGTATATGGAAAAATAAACATTTGCAAACAACTAATTTTTAAAAGATAAGCAAAAAAGAAATTTGCCTTACAAAATATAAAGGAGCGTAAAGAGTATCATAAATATGAAGAAAAAAAAAAGGAAAGCAGGTAAATGGAGGAAAGTAACAGAATGGAGAACCCAGAAATAAACCAGTTGTATCTGGATTGTGGTAGATGGGGGAGTGGTCACAGCAAATCTCTGCGGGAAACAATGGGTTAATCAATATAGTATTGAAAAAGTGGATTCCATTAAGCTCAGCCTTACACAATCTAAAATGAAAACCCGAAGTAGATTAAAGTTCTAAGTGTTCAATGTAAAGTCTTGTAGAAGAAAATAAATGTGAATATCTTTGTGACTTTTGAATGGAGATATTTGTTAAAGAAAACCCAAACAGTAAAAAACCAGCAGAGACAAAAAATTGGTATGTTTGTCCACAAAACAATATTAAATATTTATTCCAAAAAAAAATACCATAGGTAAAGTGAATGGGTAGTTCATTTGGAAGGTGTTTTTAATAAGCCAAAGGGGGGAGGGTAGGAAGTGTTAGATCCCAGAAAGCAGTAAGAAAAAGGGGAAAACACAGACACTCAAATTGAAGGGAACTTCTCAATGGCCCATAAGCATATGGAGAGATATTCCACATTACTAGCAATCAGAAAGATGCAAATTAAAATAACAGGGACAACTGACTTAATAGAAAGTTAGACACAATCAAACGCAGCAAGGATACGCTGCTAGGACAATGAAAACCAGTAGGTCCATTCTGCAAAGCAACCGAACAAGCCTGAGAGAAATAAAGGATGTAGTCTTGGCCTTGAGTACGTGCCCAAGGAAATACTAATATTCAGATCACAAGAATATGTAGAAAAGGGGTTCATCATGCCACTGGGGGAGGCAGTGGTCTAGTTAAGCATAGACCTAACAAGATGAGTCATTAGTCAAACCATAAGTTGTAAAAGAGAGTTACATAAAATGACATGGAGGACTCCCCAAAGCTGGACAACAGTGGAGGGTAAACTAAGTGATTAGCTCTATTCCCTCCTCCTGAGGTCCTGATAAACTGAAGCATAAATATATAGCCCCAGTGGTCAAAGAACTCTCATGTTCTGCAATATTAATGAGCATCCGAATCAATTTGTGATATCTGTTAAAAGAACAAGCTTATGAGTCCTCCATCCAGAAATTCTGAAACTGTATCTTAAACATGTACCTGCGATGATTTTTCCCAGAAGTGGACCATGGGCTATACTTGGAGACACCTTGGAGTAAATAAAATCAAGCTACCAAGAGAAAATGAGTAGCAGGAGTGATGACAGTGGGACATCTGCCTAGCACCAGCATCAAGGCAATGACACTCAAGCAGCTGGCCCTGTGGGCAAGAGCTGCCTGTCTCCCCACCCTCTTGGGTGAACCAATCTCAGTGGGCTTGGCTGGAGGGGTTTGGGTGATGGAAATAGACAATCACCATCTGGGGCATGCATCTGTGGACAGGAAGCCACTTCAGGCATCTACTTCCCCAAGACGGCGCTGGGCACGGTGCCTCCAGGGGTTCTGAGCCAGTTGTGATCACTCTGACTCATTGTCCGCTTCTCCAGTCGGACTGTGGTTTAAGGGGAAGTGCGCTGTGGAAAGAGTGAAAGGATCCCTGGTGAGATGCCGTCAGATGCAAATGCTGGCATTTGCCCCAAGGAGA